GCATAGATCCCTGACCTTTTTAATTCCTATTATCAGATTAGTGGTTAAATCTATTGTTATTCAAACAAGATTGCATTTGTGAAAAATGCTATGCCACCGCATTAAAACATGTACAACACTTAATAGTAATGTAGGAACAGATTTTTTTTTGTTTCTATACAATTGAAGATTGCCATAATGCACAGATCACTCACCTATCTAAGGGACCTTTCTGGTGTTTACAGTTATATGTAAATTGACTAACTTGTTATCCAATTGCTACACTGAGATAATACATAGTCACTGGTTGACCTTGTTTGCACAAAAGAACAATTGTTTATGTTTGTGATACTGTTTGTGAGCAGTTGACCTAGCAATTAATGGAAAAGGTGTGCCTAAATGTTCTGCTACGAAAAAAACGGAAAGGTCCATTCTTATTATCAGATTAGATGTTAAATCTATTGTTATTCAAATAAAAGATCAGAGTATAAATCTATCAATGCAGTTGAGTCTAGTGAATTTGTTGGTGAAGGTCATATTTCACATGGCCAAAATTCAACGACTGTACATCAAAGGACAACACAGTAAGACACTTTGTCAAAATCTAGGCCAGCTGATATCAAAGTCCACTTAACATCTTAATCTGTGCACATGGTTCAAATTTCATAGCTGCACATTAAAGGAAAAAAAGTAGGTCACATCATCAAAATCTAGGTCACCTGATATCAAAGTTCAAATTTTACAAGTAAACCTGTGCACATAGTCCAAATATCATGGCTGTACATCAAAGGACAAGAAAGTATGTCGCTTTCCCCTTGGGCAAGGCAAAATTTTGACCCGAAGGGTTTAATTCAAACAATCTTGATACAGGTCCGCCAAACAACATTTCATGTCAAATATCGAAGCTGTAGATTTCTCCAATTCAGAAAACATTTGTTTTAGTTTCTGTTTTTACTATGTTTACATAATGAAAATCAATGCCCCCGGGCAGTACCAATTTTGACATCAGGGGCAAAATTTAAACAACTTTGGTAGAGTGGTAGAGGACCTATGGCTGATATTATAAAGCAAACATAAAAGCTCTAAGCCTAGTACCTTCAGACAATAAGATTTTTAATTATTTACTATAACGTACATAGTGACTGAAAATCAATGACCCCCCTGGGCAGGGCAAATTTTGACCCCAGGGCTTTAATTTGAACAATCTTGCAAGAGGTTCACTACACAATGTTTCATGCAAAATATCTAACCTCTAGCCTTTGTCAATTTCTAGAAGATGATTTTTTAAAGATTTTACTTTATATAAAAAAAGGAAAACCCCTGACCCTGGGGCGGGGCTAATTTTGACACTAGAGGCAAAATTTGAACAACGTTGGTAGAGTACCTATAGATGATAATATGTACCAAATATCAAAGCCTTAAGCCTTGTACCTTCAGACAAGAAGGTATTTTAAGTTTTTACTATATGTACATATTGTAAAAAACAAAGACCCCCGGGGCGGGGCCAATTTTGAACCCAGGGCTATAATTTGAACAATCTTGGTAGAGGTCTACCAGACAATGCCTTATGCAAAATATCTATGCTCTAGGCCTTGTGGGTCTTTACAAGAAGATTGTTTTAATTTTTTCTTATAATTCCTTTAGGTTGCCATGGCAACCAGATTTCTGCATTGAATGAAATTGTTTGAACAACTTTGCTTTGGAAGCCCTTTACACAAGTATCAATCCTGCCAAGTTTGGTGGAAATTGGACTAGTGGTTTTTCACAAGAAGATTTTTTAAGTTCACTATATAATATATAGAACACACAAACAAACACACAAACAGGTGAATCGCTCTATGCCACCGCATCGCAGATGCTGCGGTGGCATAATAAAATATCAGAGTAAGAATATATCAATGCAGTCGAGTCTAGTGAATTTGGTGGTGAAGGTCATATTTCACACAGCCTTAATTTCATGACTACATCAAAGGACAACACAGTAAGACATTTTGTCAAAATCTAGGTCAGCTGATATCAAAGTTCACTTTACATCTTAATCTCAAGAAGATATTTTAAGTTCACTATATAATCTATTGAACACACATACACACACAGGTGAATCGCTATATGCCACCGCATCGCAAATGCTGCGGTGGCATAAAAACTATTCTAGCACTGGTAACCTTGTCCCACTGACCACTACCTCAATCAGAAGAATACCATGCAAGTTATTTTCCTATGAAATATGAAAGACATATGTCCATAAATAAAGGTTGTATGAGCAAAAGTGTAAAAATTTATTTTTAGCACTGGTGACCTTGACCCAACTGACCCCTAACTCCATTCGAAGAAAATGAACCCAATTTTATGTTCCTACCAAATATAAAAGACATCTGTCAATAGAACAAGAGCGATCAGTGATCACATGTGTCGCCTCATGATGGCAAATTTCATGTTGGGACAAGTTTTGTGACAGACGCGGAAGTGATCGGAGTAGTGGCGACATAAATTCCTGTAAAGTTAGGATGAAATTGCCCCAGTAGTTTATGAGGAGTAGTGGGGACAAGTTTTGTGACAGACGGACAGACAGACAGTGCACAACTAGACTTGGTACTGATCATTCCTGTAAAGTTTGGATAAAATTGCACCAGTAGTTCATGAGGAGTAGTCCGGACAAGCTTTTGTGTATCTGGCAACACACAGAAAAAAACACCTTTTTATCAAAGGGCCATAACTCGGCCAAAAATCATTCAACTGGAAAACGCGTGCAATATGCGCTAGGACTTGAGCTACAGATCAATCCTGTAAAGTTTCATTGAAATTGCATTAGTGGTATAAGAGAAGTAGTCCGGACAAACTTTAAAAATAAAAATTATCAAAGGGCCATAACTCTTACAAAAATCATTGAACCGGAAAATGCTGACAAAATGCACAACTAGACTTGGTACAGATCATTCCTGTAAAGTTTGGTTTGGATGAAATTGCACAAGTAGTTTATGAGGAGTAGTCCGGACAAGTTTTGTGACGGACGGACAGACGGACAGACAGACAGACGACGGAGAAGTGATCCCTATATGTCGCCACTACTCCGTAGAGGCGAAACAAAAAGGTTCATAAAAAGGTCCAGTCATTGGTTTTAGATATGTTAGATTTAAAGTAATTGTTGATGACACACCACAGTGGACAGCTCACGATAAGAGCTTACCATAAGAACATTTTGCTCAGGTGAGCTAATAATGAAAACCCTGGATGAAAGGTTCTCAATCTTGAGCTAGAAATCTTCAAAACAATATTTCTGGCCAAATTCAAAGATTTTTGGACTTAAAATGTTACCTTTAGGAAAGACAACCTATGTGACCTACTTTTTATTAACCCCAGATTAGACACAATCTTGAGCTAGAAATCGTCAAAACAACCTTTCTGACCAATTTCAAGGATATTTGGACAGAAACAGTAACCTCAAGAGTTTTAACAAGGTTTTTCTATTATTGGTCTGTATCACCTAGTTTTTGACCCCAGTTAATCAATATTCAACTTGAGCAAGTAATCATCTAAACAACCCTCTGACCAAATTCAAGGATAATTAGGCTGAAAATTCTTTCTAAAGAGTGTTAACAAGGTTTTCTACATTTTGGCTGTGTGACCTTTTTTTAAACTCAGGAGTCTTATGTTTTACCTTGAGTTAGAAATCATCAAAACAATCTTTTTAAATTTCAAGGATATCTGAACTGAAACAGTAGCTTCTAGAGCATTAACAATGGTTTTACATATATTCGGGCTGTGTTAGCCAATGTGACCAATAGTCAAATTGAGCTAGACATCATTGACACATTCTTTCAGAGCAATTTCAAGGATATTTGGACCGAAACAGAAGCCTATAAAGTATTAACATTTTTTTTTATTTCTGATTCCTGTGACCTAGTTTTTCATCTGAGTTGAACCATGTTCGAACTCATTTAAGCGACTTTTAGACAAACATCTTGACCAAGATTAGTAACAAAATGTTTTTTATGATTAAATGAAAAGTGTGGCCAATTTTGACCCCAGGGCATAATCTGAACAATTTTGGTAGTCCTTCACTAGACAATGTTTCATGGCAAATATCTCAGCCCTAGCCATTGTAGTTTTGAAGAGGAATATTTTCTAAGTTTTCATGACATATATTTCTAAATTTTGATGATACACATGGATCCTAGGAGTAAGTCAATTTTGAACCCAGATCTACCATTTGTGCAATCTTGGTAGATGTCCACAAGAAAATATCTAGGCATTGTGGGTCTTGAGGAGAAGAATTTTTAGTTCGTTTCTATTATTCCTTTTGGTTGCCATGGCAAGCAGGTTTCTGCATGGAATCATATTATTTTAACATCTTTTGAAGCCTTTCACCCAAGTAACAATCCTGGTAATTTGGTTGAATTTTTAAGATTTTTTTAGCTCATTTTATAATCTATATCAAACACATACACGCACACACACACACGCGCGTGCACCAGGTGAATGGATAGATGTCACCACATCACATCGCATAATCGCAATACTGACATCTTTCCATATTTCAAGTTTCATAAAAATATCTTCAGTACTTTAAGTTAATTAACTTTGAGTTATCATTGGATCCAGTTTTTGCAGACGGCCTGTGACCAGATTGTGATAAAGGAGCATTTCTATTGTTATTTTCTTTTGTTGTGGCCACTTCCTGTACTGTTATGGAATGAATCCTATTGTTTGTTCTGTTTACAGATAGATGACACCCAATCCCTATTTGGAAGTGCAAACTGACTTATGAATGGAAAGATGGATGGAGGGTAACTATATAATATAGTCCCCTCCAGTCAAACCAACAAGAAAACTGCACTTTCAACTCAAAGTAAATTCTGAGGATCTTTACCATGAATGCCATTTATAATTCTATTTTTCAAAATAGGAAAAATAAAAATAGTAATAGATGTATGTCACTGTGTATATATTGTCAAAAGATGATGTCAAAAAAGTTCTTATTTGTAAAAGGGTTTGTAGAGAAAATATCCTAATATACTAACCGGAGCAACTGAATTAATCCTGACTCCATGAGATGCCCACTCTATAGCAAGAGATTTAGTAAGATTGTCAACAGCAGCACGTGCCGCACCTGTATGACTGTAAAACAAGAAAAAAATACCATGACCTAATATAACAAGTACCACCACCTAGCAGGGGTACAGCTGACTTTTTCTTTTTTTTCTAAAGTCAAAGACATCAGAGGAAGAATATATTAGCAATGAGTACTCCTAGGAAACAGAACTTCTTGTATATTTTATATTTTACCTTGATGGGCAAGGTAATTTAAAGGTGAAGGTCACATATAAATTATCATCATGTCAGTTTTCTCATCAGTGCTCTTTTGTCAAAAAATGAATTAAATCCATCAATAACAAGAGGGCCATGATGACCAAGAGTCACTCACCAGAAACAACTGCTTTTCAGTAAAAGATAAAAGACTACGTGAGAATGCTACAGACAAAGTTTGGTAATCTTCTATCAATTAGTTCTGTAGAAGGAGACATTTAAAGGTATTTCTTTTTTAGCCTGGGGGCAATTACATTTATACGAGCAAATTTGTTAAAAACAAGATTGCATTTGAGATTTTTTTTGTTTCTACACAATTGAAGATTGTCAAAATGCATTGTCATAATGCATAGATCCCTGACCTATGTAATTCTTATTATCAGATTAGTGGTTAAATCTATTGTTAATCCAATAAAAGATCAGAGTAGGAATATATCAATGCACTTGAGTCTAGTGAATTTGGTGGTGAACATCATATTTCACACAGTCTAAATTTCATGACTACATCAAAGGACAACACAGTAAGACACTTTGTCAAAATTTAGGTCAGCTGATATCAAAGTTCACTTTACATCTTTATCTGTGCACATGGTTCAAATTTCAAAGCTGTACATCAAAGGACAAGAAAGTAGGTCACATTCTCAAAATCTAGGTCACCTGATATCAAAGTTCAATTTTACAACTAAAACTGTGCACATGGTCAAAATTTCATTGCTGTACATCAAATGACAAGAAAGTAGGTCAATGTACCCTTGGGCAAGGCAAAATTTTAACCCAAGGGTTTAATTCAAAACAATCTTGATACAGGTCCACCAAACAACATTTCAAGTCAAATATCTAAGCTGTAGCTTTCTCCCATTCAGAAAACATTTGTTTTAGTTTCTGTTTTTATTATGTGTACATAATGAGAATCACTGCCCCCGGGCAGGGCCAACTTTGACACCAGGGGAAAAATTTGAACAACTTTGGTAAAGGACCCATAGATGATATTATATAGCAAACATCAAAGCTCTATGCCTTGTACCTTCAGACAAATTTTTTTACTATATGTACATAATGAAAATCAATGACCCCGGGGCGGAACCAATTCTGACCCCAGGACTATAATTTGAACAATCTTGGTAGAGGTTCACTTGCCATTTATTTAACCTCTAGCCTTTGTGAATTCAGAGAAGAAGATTTTTCAAGTTTTTACTTTATACATTAAAGGAAAACTATCGACTCTGGGGCAGGGCAATTTTAACACTAGGGGCATAATTTAAACAACTTAAGTAGAGGGCCCATAGATGATATTATATACCAAATATCAAAGCTCTAAGCCTTGTACCTTCAGACAAGAAGATTTTTTAATTTTTTACTATATGTACATAGTGAAAATAAATGACCCCTGGGGATGGGGCCAATTTTGACCCCAGTGCTGTAATTTGTACAATCTTGCTAGAGGTTCACTACACAATGTTTTATGCAAAATATCTTAACTCAAGCCTTTGTAAATTTAAGAGAAGATGTTTTTTACTATATACATATAAGTAAAACCTATGGCCCCCGGGGCGGGGCTAATTTTGACACTAGAGGCAAAATTTAAACAACTTTGGTAGAGTACCTATAGATGATATCATTTAACAAATATAAAAGCCCTAAGCCTTGTACCTTCAGACAATAAGATTTTTTTTGATTTTTTACTATATGTATATATTGAAAATCAATGACCCCCGGAGCGGGGGCAATTTTGACCCCAGGGCTTTAATTTGAACAATCTTGCTAGAGGTTCACTACACAATGTTTCATGCAAATATCTAACCTTTAGCATTTGTCAATTGCTAGAAGAATTTTTTTTAAGTTTTAACTATAAGTTTTTACTATATACATATAAGGAAAACCAATGACCCCCGGGGCGGGGCCGATTTTGACCCCAGGGCTATAATTTGAACAATTTGGGTAGAGGTCTACCAGACAATGCCTTATGCAAAATATCTAAGCTCTAGGCCTTTTAGGTCTTCACAAGAAAGTATTTTAAGTTTTTACTATATGTACATACAGTGAAAATCAATGACCCCTGGGGCGGGGCTGATTTTGACCCCAGGGCTATAATTTGAACAATCTTGGTAGAGGTCTACCAGACAATGCCTTATGCAAAATATCTAAGCTCTAGGCCTTTTGGGTCTTTACAAGAAGGTATTTTAAGTTTTTACTGTATGTACATATAGTGAAAATCAATGACCCCCGGGGCGGGACCGGTTTTGACCCAAGGGCTATAATTTGAACAATCTTGGTAGAGGTCTACCAGACAATGCCTTATGCAAAATATCTAAGCTCTAGACCTTTTCGGTCTTTACAAGAAGGTATTTTAAGTTTTTACTATATGTACATATAGTGAAAATCAATGACCCCCGGGGCGGGGCATATTTTGACCCCAGGGCTATAATTTGAATAATCTTGGTAGAGGGCTACACACAGGTGAATCGCTATATGCCACCGCATGGCAGATGCTTCGGTGGCATAAAAATCTTCTGTTGGCACTCCATAATTGTTTTTTAAAAATCATCCAGTTTACTCAGGTCATTATGTACATTACACACACATTGATTGCATAATGCTTACCATATTTGGCAGTAGGGAGTAGACACAACGTCACTTGATACCTGTATGCATGTAAACCGTGTAATTGAGGCAGAGGTGTGTAGAGTTTGTTTGAAGAGTACTGACTACTGGATTATAATTGGACTTAATTATTTTGGCCCTCTGGGTGTTAAAACAGGCATTATTTATCTGATTAAAAGGTGTAAAAGTCCTTTAAATCAGACAAAGCAATGCATTGGGACCAGACATTTAGGGTCGCTTGTCACATATGACAGGGAGTCGTATAATTCAGAACAGTTATATAGGAAAATACGTTGGGAGGACTGAGACAAGGTCGGATAAGACAGGGAGTCGTTGAAATCAGGGGGTCGCTAAGAGTCTCGACTGTATGTATATAATAAAAATCAAAGACCCCCCATGACAGGACCAATTTTGACCCCAGGGCTATAATTTGAACACTTTTAGTAGAGTTTCATTAGATGACATTACACACAAAATATCTAAGCTCTAAGCCTTGCACTTTCAGAGGAGAAGAATTTTTAAGTGTTAACTATATAAATATCAGGAAAATCAATGACCCCCTGGGACAAGGCCAATTTTGACCCCAGGGCTATAATTTGAACAATACAATGTTTGTAGAGTTTCCTAAGACAATACAACACACAAAATATCTAAGCTCTAGGCCTTGCACTTTCATAGGAGAAGATTTTAATAACTTCCTGTCCCAGATGTTCAATTGAGCAGAACCATTTTAACAATTTAAGTAGAGCTTCATGCTTAAGGAGCATCCTAAGAAAATTTCATCATATTTGGCCCAGTAGTTTCTGAGAAGAAGTCATTTCTATAAAAAGATGACGACGGTCACACTGATGCATTGACAAACAATGGACGCCGGACAAATAGTGATGTAAAAGTTGAAGACAGTATATAATTCATCAAGAACAGTGGAATCCAGAATTAAGCCTCAAATGTGACTGATTTACTATAGAATATACAGTATGAAATTTCAGTGGCCCAAGACCTTCAGAGAAGAAGATTTTTAAGTTTTGACTATACACATACAAAGTACAAATGTTGCTGCAATGCAGCAATTGAGAAGCTCTGCGCAAAAAATGCGCTCATTACAAATACCTTACCAAATTATTCCTACACACAGGTCATGTTATATTCAGATTAAGTACTATTGTAGATTTTTCCCGAATGTTTTGTAAACCATTTTTTGCATAATTATACTTATAGTATGCACTGTCCATAAATACAAAGAGGGGCCAGATATTAAATTTGAAATAATGCTTTCACTGATGCCTACCTGGTAAGGAAAGTAATTCCATTCAATACAAACAAGAATTACAAGACTTGTAAATGTTATGTGACATGACTGTACTGTGTTCTGTTTGTGTCACTACTGTATTCAGTAACTTACATGTAAGATGATAAAAATATCAAAGTCAAAAATATCTGTTTTTTTATTATTATAATTGTAACAAATATACAAATAGTAACAAATGGGACTAATATTATAATATAGTAATATTACATGAATTATTTTCATGTCAAATAAAAAAAAATGGTTTCTTTCAATACTGATAGAAGACTGTTACCTGAATTTTAGGCAGGTATGAGGAAATTCACTAACATCATGTGCGTGCGAGTCAAAGATCTAAAAGCTACTTGACATTGGTGATATATTAAAAGCTATTGTTAATTGATTTATTGGGAGATCAATAACCTTTTTTTGCTGAATTGCTTTAAAACCATTCATAAAAAAAAACAATACACCTCATGTTCAAACTGCAGATCAAAGTTTCCATTGTTACCAATGATGCGATCTATCTATCTATAGTCTATGTTAAATGAGGGTCCATCCGCCCGTACGGGCACAAAATACAGCTTTCGCTGTCGAGTACAGACCCCGGACATGTCACCAAGCACAAAGTGTTGATAATTTACGTCCGTGCATAACCAATGATGCCAATGAAATGTAATTTTAAATACTAAAGTTATAATTATTTCAAAACAACCAATATATCAATATATTATTATTAAACATTTAGTTTCATAAATATAAATTAAGAATAATTATCAAAAGCAAAATTATTAAGGTCTTATGCCTGAAATCTTCTTTATATTGACAAATTCAATCACTAATAGCATACTTGATTTGCTGTGTGTAAATGTAATTGAAAATGAAACAAATTGTAATTTCATGTACTACTAAAAAAGGGAAATAA